TAATTATAATTGAAAAAGCCACTGGATCTAAATAACAAGTAACAAGAAACAATCAAGGAACCTGATTAGGAACGTATATGTTACGTTGAGACTTAAAACCAAAGGGTACATATGAAATGTAAAGTAATGCCATTTTAAGGTAAATATGCTTGCAACTAAAACACATGAAGAATAGGAAGACATACCCTTCATTGTCCTGACCTCGGGGCCTAAAACGAGCATCGCGGTTTACCAATTGGGGGCTGCCTCTTGGCCGAAGCATCCTTTTACGCTGCTGGACTCCATAATTAAAAACTTCCCTTTCCCTTTCTGTAGCCCCTTCACCATCTGCACATCCATCATCAGATTCTTTGTCATAGCACCTGCTGCGCTTTTCAGGTCTGTCTCCTTCTGTGTCACCATCTCTTTCTCTTCTCCTATCTTTAGCTTCTCTATCAACATTTTTCCAACCATCCATCTCTTTTTGCTTTTTCTGCTCAGATGCCTGATTTTCCTGCTCTTGTATTTTAACAGACCCATCTCCCAATTCTTTCTCATTGTTTGATCCTTCTTTCTCTGCTCCATTCAATGATTCTCTCTTGATATGATCTTTTTCCCTCTCTTTTGGCCTTTCTTTTTCCTTCAAATCCTTCCTTTCTCTCTCCCATCTCTCTGATTCTCTGTCCTCTCTTGCAGATTCTTTGACTTCACCGCTGCTATTACCTACTTGTATGCTGCTCCTACGATCACTTCTTTCCTTATCTCTATCTCCCCAATCTCGGTGTTTCCCATCTTTTCTTTTTCGATCCTTGTCTTTAAACCTATCCTCACCTTTTGAATCAAACTTGTTCTCACCGACAGCCTCATGAGCTTCTGCATAATCTCTTTCTTCAGTAGCAGAGCCTTCCTTTCCAACTTCAACTGGTCCTTGTGAATTACCACGTTGGATATGCCATGGATCTATGTTTCCACCTGGGGGTTCTGAATATCGTTTTCCTCTATGGTAATCCCTTGAATCCTTCCAACTTGAGTGACTACTTGGCCCACCATAAACATCCTTTTCCACCTTCACATCACCCTTCGGATCACTATGAATCTCCCTATCACATTTCAATTCTTTACTCTCATCCCCTCTATTTTCAAACCTGCCATCCTTTTCACCTTTCCCACTTTGATACTCCCTCTTCACAGCCTCACCGTAAAACTCCCTCGCTTCCACCCTTGGCTCCCGACTCTCAACCCTGGCCTCCCGATTTTCCTTGGAATCCCGCAACTCCATCCTACTCTCAGAACCACCCTGATGAGAGTCCACATGCGAATCATTCGAAACAGCAGATGAAGGCATTCTATACATAGAATGCTGCAAAGGTGACCTTCTATCAGAATCACGAGGCTCTGCTCTCGGAATCCTAGTCATTCTAGCATCTTGACCCATTTCATAAGGGACAGGATGATGGTACTCAGTCGAAATCAAAGACGAAGGTATCTTAGGGTAAGTACCAGTGTCCTCGTGTGGGTATTTAGAAGCAGAAGAAGAATGCCCACCACCAACTTCTTCATGAGATCTCTTTGGAGCACCACTCATCTTCTCAAATTCACTAATAAGTTTTTAACTTCAAAAACTAAATACCCAGATGAAATTAAGCAAAGACTTTTCCCTTATCCTGCAAAACAAGAAAAGAAAAAAAAACCCAAAACTCTTTTCAAATAAAACAACCCAAATGTAAACAAAATCAAAGAACAATCTTCTTAAGAGAACAAAACAAGAACATAGCATGGAAAACCCAGTAACACGTTTCAGTAACAGAAGAAAGCTGTAATGGGAAGAGAAAAACATGAAGGAAATGTCAACTAAGACGAAGGAAAGAGAGAAAATGTGAGGGGAAAAACCTAACCTGGATTTCTGTGAAGTAAATTGAAGGGTTAATTGTTGGAAAGAAGCTGGAGATCGAAGATATATCCTTTTCTGCTCCTTTGGGTGGTCATCGTTTTTGGCGAATGGAAAGCAAAATTGATGAAGGTTTGCTGCAAGTTTGAAAGCCTACCCTTAAAAATCGATGTCACGATTGGTAAAAGCGAAACGGGTTTTTCTACTGTTAAGCCCAATGGAGTCCAAAGAGGGTGAAAGCCCATTAGGGAAACAGCAGCCCTTCTCCCGCATTTTAAAACAGACGTTACTCTATTCTTCTTTTCCTTTTTCTTTTATAATACCTAAAAGGTTGTTTAATTATTTATGAAAATTTAAATAAATTTTTATATTTTTTATATTTAATTAAGTTTTTATATTTTTATTTTAAATTAAATAAATTTTTATAATTAATTATTGACTCAGTCAAAATGACACTTGTTATAGTTAACACTGACATGACATAATAGATAATGATATAATCACATCACATTCTTCATTTTTTACATCAACATCATATCAGCGTTACATGGGTATAAAATAATAAAACATATTTTGATTAATAATAATTAGTCAATCATTAGTTATAAAAATTTATTTAATTTAAGATAAAAATACAAGGGCTTGATTAATTAAATATAATAAAAGAATAAGGGCTTATTTAAATTTTCTATAATAATTTAGAGATTTTTTTGAGTTTTATGTCCTCTCTTTTATGTCTAATTGTCATGAACTAATACTTTCAATTTAAAAAGCATTCTTACTAAGTAGAAAAAAAATTTTAGTTTTAAACTCGAGACTCATCTAATCTTTTATTAGGAGATCTACATAATTTTGAGGTTAAGATTGAGGGCCAAAATTTCTTTATTCCATAAATCTCAATCCATTTATATTAGTTTTATAATTCAAATTCGAAAATTTTAAGTTATAGTCCCAGATTTTAATGGTTAAAAAGTTGAAACCCAATTGTTTTTTATTTAAATTATCTAATAATTATCTTATAAAAAAAATTATCTTATATGTCAATTGTAAAGTAATTTCCAGACTTATATAGATAATAAATCGTGTGTCAGCAAATCTTTATTTGATCCTTAAATTTATCATTTTCACCCTAAAAGCTTCCTTACAAGATTTACCATTTTCACTTCAATAAAATAAAATTTAAATATTTGTCTTAGTCAAGAGTTATTTTAGATTATTATTTGGATCCACCAACGCCTTTTTCTACTCTCATTATATCAAACATATCTAAAAATCTTAATGGGACTAAAAAAAATCAACTCAAATTGGTCCAACAGAAATCTAATTTATCTCAATTGACTCTTGCAATCAATAACCTAAACCCAAAGATTTTCAAATTATTTTTTTAATTTTAAAGTCAATAATCGAAAACAATAGTA